TTTCTTGTGTTTGGTACTAATTTTGTCTATATGCTAGCTTTATTTAGGTCTTTTTTGAATATCGTTCTTCTATTTTTTGTTATTTTGTAATTTTTAGGTGATCATCTTATTTTATTATTCTATCTTTAATTTTGATAAAGATATTATATTTTTAATAAAAATTATTTTTTAATTTTATTATTAAAATTTTAAAAAGTTTCTTAAAATTTTATATGTTTCCAAAAAAAATTTTTTAGTTACTACTAAATAAAGTTTGAATTTTACTTAATAAGTTATAAAAGTTTTAATAATAAAAGTAGTATAATTTTAAATTGTTTACAACTTTGGATTAAGATAATAGGGGGTCAAAGCTTATAATTTTATTAAGTAAAACTAAAAAAACAGAAAAAAAATTTAAAATTAAAATTTTTTTAAAAAATTATAAAATTGTCTTTTATAAGCAACCTCAAATTTTTTATAAATATTAAGCAAATAAAATAAAGTTTTAAATAATATATAATCATAGTTTTTATTTAAAAAAAAAATTATAAAATATTTTTATTTTTAAAAAAAATAAATCAGATATGAATTTATAAAATTTAAGCAACCAAATTTGCCTGCTTATCTGGACAGTTTAAGGGATAAATAAAGCTTGATATATTAAATATATAAGCAAAAATATATAATCAGAATATTATAATAATTAAGAGCTTATATCTATATAAAAAATGATAAGTTATTAAATTAAAATATAAAACTAATAAGTATATAAAAATTACTTTTAAATTCAAGAATCACAAAATCTTGTATATTAGAATAATTTTTTATACTACTCTAGATTTATAATATAGTTATAATAGTGAGTTAAACATTTGATTATAAATATATTTGTTAAAAAAATTTTTTTTTATGAAAAAAAAAAAAATCTAAGAGATAAATATTAATAATAAAAAAAATTTTAGTAATAAAAAAGAGGTAGATTTTAAGATAAGTAAATATATTTAACAAAACTATATACAATACTATATAAAATTAATTAAGAGTTTTTTTTAAATTTAGTAATTAGAATATTGATAAAAATTATTTATCACATATTATTAATTAGAAGCAACTATCAAATAAAAGTAATTTTTAAGATTTTTGAGCCAAAAATTTAACTAAGATTATTACTTTAGCTCAAAAAAATTCTTATTTTTTTTATAGCATTTTGGTTGCTTCTAATCAATAATATACAGTATTACTTTTATATATACTTTAATAGTAAAAGATAGCTTGTATATTTTTAAATATCTAAAATAAATCATTTTATATATAATTTTCAATTAATTTAGTATAATTCTATTTTTAAATATATTTATAACAAAGTTATATTAAAAAATTTTATGTTTTAGTATTAAATTTTTTATCTATAATGAAAATATCTTTCTTTAAATCATTTACAATATAAAACAGAATTTTTGTAAAGAATTAATATTAAAAAATTTTAATTTAATTTTGTTATAAATATATTTAAAAATAGAATTATATTAAAATAACAAATTAATTTGCTCTAAATATCTAAAAATATACAAATTATTTTTTACTATTTATTAAAGTATATTTAAAAATGATAAATAATCTTAATCAATATCCTAATTACTAAATTCAAAAAATTCTTAATTCAACTGCTTCTTTAGATAAACTTTTTTTGTATTTGGTATTCAAACTGGAGGAGTCTCTAAGAACAGCAAGTAGAAAAAAAAACTCAGAAAGTTTAAAGACGAAAGGATATAATGAATTCTTAGAAAAACTCTCTTTAGTTAGAAACTTGCAAAACCAAAACTTTCTTAGCTGTTTTGATACTTCTAAAACCAATTTTTGGCAAAAAGTAGAGATTTGACTTTTCTCGTCAAAAGATTAGTATTGTTTATCACTTTCATATTCAGTGATTTAGTAATATGAACACAACAAACACATAATTACATAGAAAGATATTTATTCCTTATTTGGAAACATGACTCCAAATATCAAAGATTCAAAAAGTTTTTAAGAACTTACATACCAAGTAGATAAGACAAGACAGAAAAAACACATGGAGCAATATATTTGTTATATTTTAGAATGAAATATGAATTTAAAGTTGGGATATGAAAGAGAATTTGAGATATGCAGTCTAATAACAAAGTCATGTACATATAATTTTTAGCTTTTAGTACAAGTTAAAGTATATTTAGTTTAGTTTTTTTTTATATTAGCTAAATTCTATATAATTACTATGATCATGTAGATAAATATTCTGGTTAGCAGATACTAATTTGTTAGTTAGATTTTTTAGTTTTGTATTATATTATTTTTTTCTCTCCTTTTTAATATATTTGCTTTTTATATATTCTCTTTTTAAAATATCTTTTTTCTCATATTCTCTCTACTCTATTTTGCTTTCTGAATTTTTTTATTAGAGAATTTTTCTTCAGATTGGTGATATATTATATAGAGCAGTAATCTTGACAAGATTGGTGGGTATCTACTGTAGATTTTTGAGATATAAATTCTCAGTAAGTTGAGACTCTTAGACAAGATAAAGACAAACTACTTAGGGAGATTATACTTGAATCTTTTTTGTAAAACTTTTTATAGGTTCTAATTAATAGATCAAGTGATTCTTTATTAGTATAGGCATATATAGATTTATGAGTAGTTTAGCTTCTACAGAGTAATTCTATATTAATTTAAATAATAAAAGAAAGATCATTAAAACAAAAACAAAAAAAAACTCTTAATTAATTTTATATAATATTACTAGTTGTAAATCCGGATATTGTTCTGGAATAAAATTTAATTTTTTAAAATTTTTTTTTAAATTTGATTTTTATTTATTTTTTAATTTATAAACTTTTTTAGATTTTAAAACTAATATATACAATATAATTTTAATATAATAAACCTTGATATAATGAATATTAATTGTATAGCAAAGGATATTTCAAATTTTATATTTAAATTAGCTTTGATATAATGAATTTATAAGAAATTTAAATATAGTGAAGAAAAACTTCTAGCTTTAAAATTTTATTATATTAAAATTATATATATTATATAGAATATTTCTTAAATTACACTATGTGTATATACACATATATATATTGATCGTCATAGTTGTACCGATATTACTATAGTTGTACATAGTACCGTAGTACGTATGCATTGTTGATTTAACTCCAACGTTGGTAATGCATATGTATGTGATCGCAATTGTTTTGATCTCAATAAATAGGTAAATGATCGTAATAATAGTTAATTTTCTTTTGCTTGTAATCTGAGAGTCACGTATTATTTTCTTTTTTTTTTTTTTTGTCCTTTGCTTAAAAATTTTCACGAATACTTTAGTTAGACAAGTAAGAAGCTTGTAACGTAAGATCACAGAAATATCATTTTCGTGTTTTTCAGCCAAAGGTTAACTGTGTATTTTTTGCATGCCAGGTTTGCTTAGAACCTTCACTTATAAAGGAAGCATTTAGTTGACCAGTAAGACAGTTTATTTTATGAGATAGACAATTGAGGATTCATTAACGTTAACAAACATGGAAACGATTGTTGAAATAATCATTTTTTTACCTGTAGCCTAAAAGTTGCAACCCAATTTTTTTTTCACGTCTTCACTCAATATAGAAGCTCATTAAATATGGAAAACCAAATTACAACAAGCAAGTATTTTGAACATTAATACGTATATGACACAAACTAGGATAAGTCATCGGGATAACTTTTTTTTTATTTTTTACCTTTTATACTAGTTTCCTTTAACCTGGATCCAGAATATTCAAACGCGACCAATAGCCCTTCTCTATCCCAAGTATATCTTACATGTTTCTATTGTTTGTTTGTTAATATTCATAACCTAATCCATTCTTATATGTATGTACATATGTACAACTTTTTTTTAGTTGAACAATTTTAGTAACGATTATCATTCTATGGACAACATTAGTAACGATTATTATTCTATGGACGATAGTTCTGATAGTGAACTTAGTAGTGCCGATTTTGAAGATTCAGAAGAAATTGAAAACCACAATAATCTATTAGAGTTGAAAGTTGGGCTTACCTTTGGAAGTTTCAAGGAATTTAAAGCCTGGATTGAATGTTTTGCTAAAAAGGAAGGGTTTAGTTATCGAATTAGAACTAGCACAATAGATGGTGATATAGTTCGTCATGCTATATACGAATGTTCAAGATCAGGTACACACCAACCTCTAGTGACTACAGATCCTACTAAGCGACGAAATATGTCTTCACAACGAACAGAATGCTCTTGGCATCTTAACCTTACCTGCCCTAAAACAAATAATATTTTGAAGATCAACTCATTTAAGGATGAACATAATCATGTTCTTACTCTAACTATAAATGAAATAGCTTCACGATTTAGGAGATTAATCCCAAAAATGTTATCTGATATAAAAAAATATGTATTGCAAGATCGAATGGATTCTGGGTCCATCTACCCTTTACTAAAGCACGATTATCCTAACCAATCTATCTTTAAAAAAGATCTTTATAATGCAGTATACCGTTTTCGAACTGAAAATAACCCTGGTGATTCGGATGCATCCCAAATGCTCCAAATACTAATGAATTGGAAAGAATCAGATCCTTCATGGGTAGTTAAACTCTATTTAGATCCTTTGTCCCAAAGATTAATCAGATTATTATGGATGTCACCATCACAACGATCCTTATATGAAAATTTTCATAACGTTGTAATTCTGGATACCACATCCAATACAAATAGGTTTAAGATGATGCTTTGCGTCATTGTTATTATTGATAACCATTTCAGATCTAGAATTGTTGCTTCTGCAATAATTGATGACGAAACTCTTGACACTTTTCGATGGATCTTTACAACAATTTTCGAAAAAACAAGTGTCAATCCTGAGGTTATTTTTACTGATTCCGACCCATCCTTAATTAGTGCTATTAAGGAAATGCATCCAAATACAGATCATATGTTATACATTTTTCATATTGACATAAACCTTCGCAAAAAACTTACAAGTAAACTAGGATCTCATTTTAGAGATTTTCAAAAAAAATTTTACACATGTCGAAATTCTTTATGTCACAAATTGTTTAAAACTCGTTGGCATCATTTAATTGATGAATTTCCAATAGCGGCAAAATATTTGTTGGATACACTTTATCCTAATAAAGAGGCGTAGGGTATATCTTGGATACGTAATGTATTCACAGCTGGTGTTCAGAGCACCCAAAGGATTGAATCGATCAACAAACAAATACATGACAAAGT